ATCCATCCCCCCTGCATCCGACCCCCCAGTATCCCCTGCATCCCTGTATCCATCTCCTCATTATCCCCTGCATCCATCCCCCCAGTATCTCCTGAATCTATCCCCCCTGCATCCATTCCCTCTGCATTCCCCTGTGCCCCATGTATCCATTCCCTTAGTCCCTCCTACATCCATCCCCTTGGTTTCCCCTACATCCATCCCCTCTGCATTCCCCTTTCCCCCATGCCTCATCTCCGCTGTCCCCCCTGCATCTACCCCCCTTACAGGCAGCCCCTGGTCCCCTTTGCATCCATCACCTCCTTCCCTGCCCTGTGTCCTTGCCTCCCTCCCTTCTGTCCATCCCCCATGTCCCTCCAGCCCCTCCACGTGCCCTTCGTCCCATTGGTCCCCACCAGCCACTTGGCTCTGTCCCCAGCCCCAGGGAAGGCCGGGTGCCAGAGGAGCTGAAATTTCATCCAGCTGTAATCAGGAGATGGGAAAGCGGCCCCAGAGCAGCTCAACTTTATTTTTAGTTGTGCCTCCCCCTTGCCGTGGTGTCACACCCTGCACCGCCCCACACCACAAGTGGGACAGATCCCACAGGTGGGAGGAACCCTGTGCCTGGACTCTGGGCAGGGGACAGGGCAGTGAGTGCCACCTGCACGTCGGCCACCAGGTCCAGGGAGTGATGCTGGGGTTTAGGGACTACCTGGGTCATGCCAGGTGCTCGAGGCAGCCAAGCCAGGCTGAGCCTACCTCAATCCCTGTTAGCCCACCAGGGTGAGAAGCCACTCGCAGGGATGGAGCCGTGGACAGTGACGCCTCCAGGAAACCACGTGGCAGTGGGATTCCAGCCCCATGGCCGAGGTGCCGTGGGGTCTCTGTGCTCAGACATGTCCAGACATCCCAATCTGTCCAGGTGATCAGGGCACACGGCTGCTTCCCTGTCCACCTTCCCCCCTAGGGCTCTGGGATCAGTCCTCTCCATCCCCAGGGACACCTGCTCTGGATGTGGCACCCCCTGGGGACACTTGGCTCACCGAAGGACTTTCTGGTTTTTTAATTATTTTTTTTAAATTATTTTTTTCCCTTCTCTCCTCCAGAAAAGCTCAAGCAGCACAAAATCATCTTCGTGGTGGGTAAGTCTGTGTCTGGGTCTTGTAACTGGTGGGGTCAGCCCAGACCTTTTCCCTGCACCCCTGGGGTGGGAAGCTGGGGCTGGAG